TGGGGAGAAGCAGAGGGAGAGGGAGAAGCAGGCCACTTGCTGGCCTCTATCCCGGGACCCTGGGATCATGACCTGAGCTGAAGGCAGATGCTTAACTAACTGAGCCACCTAGGTGCCCCTTAAATGGGTTTCTTATTCCTCCAAAGATACTGCAGTTTCAAAATAAAATTCTTCCAAGTTATATATAGAACCCTGAACTCCCCATTTTTAAAGTCTGGTTTTGCTTTGTTCTTCTCTGTGTAGTCCTGGGTAGGTCCTTTTATGTCTAGACGTAGAGGTTTAAAATAAAAATGATAAAGAATTTGATTACACAATTTCTAAGATCCATTTCATTTCACAATTCTGATTTCTCTCAGAGACCCAGAAATAATCCTTTCCCTCTTGCTTGGGGGAGGAAACACATAAAAAACACAACTCAAATATATTAAGGTTTTCCAGAGAAACATAACCAATAGTTTTGTGTGTGTGTGTGTGTGTGTGTGTGTGTGTGTGTAAAAAGAGATTTATTGTGAGGAATTGGCTTATTGAATATTGAAGACAAGCAAGTCCCAAGATCTGCAGTAGGCACAGATGTGGGAGAGCTTATGATGTCGTCCAGTCTGCGTTCAGAGCCCTGGGAGCCACGAGCTGACAGTGTAGTTCATGTCCAAAGGCTGGCAGGCTTGAGCCCCTAAAAGAGCCAAGGTTGCAGTTGGAGTCTGAAGGTGTAGAAAAGTCAGTGCTCCACCTGAAGGCAACCAGGCTGGAGAAAGAATCCCTCCTTGGGGGGAGGACCAGCCTTTTGTTATTCAGGCCTTCACCGGATTGGGTGAGACCCACCTACATGAGAGAGGGCATCAGTTTTAGTCTGCCTGTTTTTTTGTTTTGTTTTTGTTGTTTTTTGTTTTGTTTTGTTTTGTTTTGTTTTGTTTTGTTTTATAGAGAGGGAGTAGGGAGGGGCAAAGGGACAAGGAGAAAGAGAGAATCGTAAGCAAGCTCCACACCCAGCACGGAGCCTGACATGGGACTCTATCTCACAACCCTGAGATCATGACCTGAGCCAAAATCAAGAGCTGGATGCTTAATTGACTGAGCCACCCAGGGGCTCCTAGTCTGTCAGTTTTAATGTTGAACTTGTCCAAAAAATAGAGAAACACTCAGAATAATGTTTGTCCTGAGTATCTGGGCACCCAGTGGCACAGTCAGGTCGACACATGAAATTAACCATCACATCAAACTTCTCCAAGACAAAATTGAAAACTTTTGACTTTTTAGTTCTATCTGAAGGGTGGGGCTGAGAATTCGCCCAGTAGCCAATAGCTGTTGGCCAAATTGAGTCTGAATAACATTATTTCATATACCATCTTTATCTCTTGAGGCTTTAGTATTTTTTAGGGTTTTTGTTTCTTAAATGCTTCGAGGTCCTCTTTCTATACTTTTTTATTTTTTCTGGCAAAGCAAATCAGACTTCATTGGGCTCCATTCTACTGTATTAATATTTGAATATTACCCAGCCATTTGTTGAAGGGTGGCCCTAAGCTCAGAAAGATACAGAACAGTAGAGGACGCAAACATTGTCACAACTTTTTTTGTGACACATCTTGATTCTTGATCTGTGTGGCCATGCCCAGAACTGGTCAGCACTCTGTGTCATCAGGTGCTGAGTCACCAGTAAAAATGAAACCCGCCACCCGCTCTGTCTGCTTTCTCTCTTGACATGCCACAGTTTCAGACCTTCACCTTGCTCTGGCGAAATGCATCTCTCAGAAGTTCTGTGTCACAGGTGGTGTAGCTGGAGAGAGCTAGGAGGCAGATTTTGGTGCTGTTAAGTATCTGCAGCTCCATCTTTCTGGAGACCACATCTTAAAATAGATCAGTGTGGCCTGTGGTGTCAGAGGTGCTAGAGGAGCAGGAGGGCTGGATGTCAGTTCCTTCAGGTGTTGTTGTTCAGGGTCCCTCTCCCTGTCCCAGAAAGTGGCCGCAAGCTACTTTCATTCTTCTTTCAAAAAATACCAAGTGCCTACTCCAAAATACTGCCTTATCACAACCCCCTTGCCTGCCATGAGCATGAGGCTCACAAGGCCTTCATTTACTTTTTCCTGGAGAATCTCTAGTTTTTTTCCACATTACCCCTTGATTTGTAGATGGACAATTATTGCTATCAGTCTGGCTTTGGTGACTAGACTGTTCCAGTCAGGATTCCTTTGTCTCAAATTGACCGGAGCAAAATAAATGTATTGACCCACAGCTCATAACTGAAAAGTTCACAGGTAGCGTGCATCAGGCATAGCTGGATCCAGGGCCCTATTTACCAGGCCACCATTTCTTTTCTTGGCTCTGGGTTGATGTCACCTCATGAAAGCAGGTAGAAGTCTGGAGAGAGCTTACCTTCCCCTGTAATTCTGAACCAGTGGTTGTGGTCAGGAGGTGTAGTATGCTGAGTGCAATTGGACTGAGGGGTTCACCTCACATAAACTACGTGGCTTGAGAGGTGGGTGGTACCTTTTAAACAATTCAGGGTATTGCTACTGGAAAAAAGCATGAATGGATGCTGAGCAGAAAACTTGGTGGATGTCTGCTTTTTAATCTTTAGGATCCGTTGAAGAGTTTCATATAAGGGGAGACTCCACTACGACTCCTTTACGTTACAGAATGATTTTGTATTTCTATATACATTTGCGTTTCTTTATAAGGCATTTTTTAACCCTCCAAAATTTGAAGTGGCTTAGAAGACTTCATATTATGCACAAAGATTGGAAATGAATATTTAAAGGAATGAGAAAAGACAAAAAAAAAAGAAAAAGAAAAAGAAAAAGAAAAGCAGCGTAGGCCCAGAAGAGAAGATGATAACAAAGTTAGTCTCATATGTCTCAAAGCTGGGAGCTCCTACAGAATAATTGCTTGAAGTGACGTGCAGATTTGGCTCTGAGGTTCCCAGGAATGGCGGGTCTGGATCTTAGAGGGTGTATGTGTATGTGTATGTGTATGTGTGTGTGTGTGTGTGTGTGTGTGTGTGTGTAAGTAACATGTCCTCTTAAGCCACAGGCCCTTCTGGGAGTATGGACCCCAAGGAAAGGCCATGGGAAGATCATAAAGATGCTGTGGTCTTAGATACATTTCTTCTCCAAAGTCCTCTGGGGCGCCTGCCCTTGGGACCCTTGGCTCTTTGCTCTCAGCACCGGGTTAGAAAACAAAGCAAACAGACAGAGATTTAAACCTCCATATTGCTGGGTTCCTTCCAGGAACAATCAGAGGGTTAGACCATGTCACCTCTAGTGGGAGACAGTAAGGTGAGTCACCCCTATAACAAGGCAGAGTAGGATTACCTTAATTGTAAAGCTGGGCTGATCTTGAAAATGGACTCCTGCTTGCTTAATGACTCACATTCCTGTTTACAAACGAGTGCTGTGGAGAAATGCAGAGTGGGAGGTTCTGTTTCCCAGATGGAGACCAGAGACCTCCGGGCACGGGCAACTAGTGCTTCCTCTGAGGGCTTGGTCTGCCCCTTCTGGGGCGCAGACCTCGGGGGTTCTAGCAATGGTGGCTTTCCAGGGCCAGATCCAGGGACAGCTGCATCCAGCTAGGGCCCTGGGGTAGCACCAATTTGCTGGTCACATGGCCCCTTCCCCTTTTGGGAGTTCACATGGCCTTGGGATGGGTTTAATCCACCTGGATACTCCCCTGCCCCGCATTAAGGGGGGGACCAGGTAATATGGTGACCATGTAAATTGCTCCAGAAATGTGGTTGCTGTTTTATAGAATTTGTCCTTTATTTCCATCGACTTCCTATCTCTCAGAGTCTTTAGCACCCACTGTGCCCCTTCTGCTGATGTTGGGTGAATATCAGAACATAAGATAATTGAGTTTTGTGCTCAGTGTCGTAGTCTTAACCTTGAGTTCTTTTATTCAGGATTAAGATGGGTGAATAATTTACTTATGGCATTTTTTTCCCATATAAACCCTTTAAAAACTAGAGTAGAAAAGTCATACATCCATACAAAGGACATAGACATTTTCCTTTTTAAAAGACGGTGAGAATGATACTTCTTTGCTGTAAAATAGCTCTCCTTGGACCCCAGGTCTCTCTTTACGCCCCTAAATTCTCTATCCTGTTTATAGAGCAGTAGTCAACATCTGGATGGGCAACCGAGTCTACACAGCAGCACCATGAGTTGAGTGAGACCTGGTCCATATTCCCCTTCTGCCATTTACTAGCTGTGTGACCTTGGGCATGCTCCTTAACGTCTCTGAGTCCGTTTCCTCCTCTGCAAAATGGGCATGACGATACCTACCTCACAGGGTGGTTGTGAGGAGCTGCAGAAAAACAGGCACATTCCTGTCTAGAGCCCCAAACAGAGTAGGCAGTCAGTGAACTGAAGCCGCTGGCCTGCTGGAGCTCCAGCTGGGCTGAAATGCAGTGCAGCACATACTTCTTGAGCACTCAAGCTGTGTGCAGCCAGATGTTTCCCAGAGGTCCAGAGATGTAAGCGTAGCCACCTCTCCGAAAAATGGTAGAGCGGCAGAGGGGGAGGTGACCAGAGAGATCCTCAAGTAGCTCCCGTATTGGGTGGAACCATATGTAATTGCGTTTTTGTAGCGTAGAAATACCAGCAGTATCACGTGGCTTAGATGAATAGAGGATTCAGTAAGGTAAGTTGAGAGAGAGAGAGAGAGAGAGAGGGAATGCTGGCCAGCTGGGCCGCTGGAGCAAGCAGCGGCCGCGTCCCCTGGGGGAAGGCTGGGCAGAGGGGGGCACAGCGGGCAGGGATGCAGCGGAAAAGCTGCGCATAGAGGAGGCTGTGCTTACGGAGGGGGCCCGAAGCTAGAAGCCAGGGAGGTGGAAGAGTCCTGGGGTCGCCACGGGAGCCAGAGTCGTCCTTGCTTGGAGTTTGCCGAGAAGTGTGGGGTCAGGGAAGCAAGTCCTGCTGGGGACCGCGAATCCTGCTGGGGACCGCGAATACCTCGGTGACTGCGTCCCCCTCCCTCCCAAGCCTCACTCTGTTCCCGTTTCTTCCTGGCAGCAGTGCCCCCTCCCTTGCTGCACTCAGGGACATGACTGTCAGCACTTCTACCCCCCCTCAGACTTCACTGTCAGCACTCAAGTCTTCAGGGACATGAAAAGGAGCCACTCCTTACACAAGGTTGGGGAGCCCTGGTGTTTGGAGGTAGGTCCCGGAGCAGAACGACGGTATGAGATGAGCTAGCTCTGAACTGAAACCACCCATCCAAAGTTTGCTTTGTGCCAGGGCAGGGCCCCTGAGTGCGCCACGGCCCCTGAGTTCCCGGCATCTGGCTGTCCTGTCGGGTGCCATGCTGTCTGGGTGTCATGATCACTGATAGGTTTATCATAGCCATAAGGATGCCGGTTTACGAGGAGAGGGTGGAGGGTGGTGCTCCCATGAACCCAAGGTGCCCGGCGCCCAGGAAAGGCCACACGTGGTCCAGTGTCCTGTGTGGCTTCTGTGAGAAGGATGAACACTGTGTTATCCCATTCAGCTTGACCCCCAGGAAATGCTTTCCTGGCACGTTCCACAGCTCCCAGAAGAAAGAGAAGTTATTACCTCAATTTTGCCTTTGTTCTGAGTTATTTAGAACTTAGAGATTCTCTTGGAGAATTCAGGGTGCTGAGAAATGCCCAGTCCTCTGCAGTGGTACCTTCCTGAGGCAGCCGTGAGTGGCTTTTCTCGCAGACGTGGCTGTCCAAGGACGGGAAGCATTGTTCATTTCCTTTAAATCATTCAATACGATGTCAGTACCCCACACTGCTCCATGCTTGGGAACGACAGTTCTCTTCAAATCAGGAATCCTGAAGAATAAAGACCGTGTAGATCATGCTTTCCTTCTCAGAAAAGCAAAAGTCAACACAGATGATAAATTTTTTAAGGAACTCTTTAAGACTTAAATGGCAAATGATTTAGTATTAATATTAGTTTTTTTTTTCAAAAGAAAAATGAATATTTAAGAGCCAATTAGTGAGACTTCTATCCTTTAAAACCATTGATACTCCACCTACCACGTGCTGGGTGCTGTGTTGGGCATTAGGGCCTAATATTGGGATGCATTTCTTTCTCATCATTCTTGTTTCTGGACTTTAAAGATGTTTCACAAAATTGGAATTGGACCTTACAGTAGTTTGGTATTTTCTTCTCACTTGACGTGACACCAAGGATGTTTCTGGACACTACAACGTGTCTTGATTCTGGTTGGTGACTTCATGTGTTAGTGTCTTGCGGAGACCTTCCTATGTAGAGGGGCCCCCCTTTGGCCAGATGTGAATAAAACTGAAGATGTTTCTGGTCCCTTCCTCATCCACTAATGGTTGCCTGTACTCAGACTTCCTGGAGCCGGTGAATGCAGGAAGCCCATGTCCTTTGATGGATCTGGGCATGACAGGACAGGGAGGCCTTCTTCTGTGCAGCAGCCTTGGCCTGAGAGAAGCCTTTCCTCAGCAGCTGCCCACTGGTCCAGCCTTTAACAAGTGTGGCGGCTGGTCCTCTGACCACAGATGATAAGGCCCTGCCGCACATGGCTGTCCCTCCACCAGGGCCTGGCAAATGGTAACTCATTAATCTTTGGTCAGAGTTATGAGGTAGATAAAGGAGAACCGGGCACCCATTTTGAGTATGAGGAAAATAAAACAGGAAGACTGGGTTTCTTCCTTATAACTTGAGATCCTTGATGCTGGTGACTATGTTCATTTCTTGGCTCTGCCCTCAGGACACAGAAACATCTCGGGGAAGCACCAGTCCACCCCGCTTCCAGGATCAGATCTAAGTCTCTGAACTGTGAATAGGCCAGACACACAGACACCGCCCATGAGCTGTAGGAACTTGGACAAAGTTACCCAGCTTCTCTGCCTCAGTGGCCCTGCCGGTGAAGGGGAATCACACGTGGGCAGCTGTGAGCACCCAGTGAGTCGAAGCGTACAAAGTGGGACTTGGCTGGAGGAGCTGGGGTCCAGCACGAGCCCTGGGGCATCACATGCTGAGAGCGTGTCCGTGTGAGGGGCCAGCCGCTGCTGGGCAGCTCAGTTGGACAGCCTGCTTTGCCGGCGGTGTTGGCACGGCATCGCTAGTTAGGTGTCCTCTGTAGTACTTTCTACTTCACGAATCGTGGGTGAGGGAAACCCCGATCCACAGCGTGGGTGTGCTAGGGGCGGCTCTGGGTAGCGTAGTGGAAACCACACGAGATGGGAGTCAGAAGTAGGATTGAGTGCAGCGTTCCCTCACCTCTGTTGGCAAGAGGCTCTACCCCTCCGTGATGCACCCCCTGTGTCTGTAAAAGGGGATGGGCGTGGAACACCTGCCCAGCCTGCTTCCAGGGGGCACCAGAGCAAGATTTTACACAGCACCTCCTATGGGCCAGGCGCTCCTGTAAGGACTTTGCTTATAGTTACTCTTCAGAACCTGAGGACCATCCAAGAGGGAGATGGCTGCGATCCCTTCTAGCAAGGAAGCCACAGGGAGGTGTAGCAACTGCTTGGGATCACACAGCACAGGGGCAGAGCCATAAAACTGCTGTTACTGAAGACCACGGCAACACCCCATGGTTCCGAGTCTTCCATACCAGCCGTCCTCCACTTGCTAAAGGACATATGTCAGTCCTTCTCAGGGGCTGGGAGGAAGCTTTTGATTTGGGACATTCAGAGTCCAGTTTCTGCTTTACCACCACCACATTCGGGTCACTCTCTACCCCAGCCAGACTGAACTTTCAGTTTCCTCACTCTTTTTTCCTTGCACGTTGGCTGGATTCTGTTATTTCAGCCCTGTCCTCCAGGGAAGTAAGGTTGGTGGACCAGTTGAGTAAATATGACTAAGAAAGTCAATATCCACCTGGGCAGGCGTGAGTCACTTTTTTCTAGTTAGCTATTCATGTACATTTTTAAAACTAGCCACACAAAGTCATTGCATTGGGGCTATTAACGTGTTTAATAGTGACAATAATAGGGTGTGACCTGTGGCATAAGTGCATTCAGATAAGAAAGAGTGTTTTTTCCTGTAATTGCTTAGTTAATACCATTTTCACGGAAATGCTTGCAACAACCTTTTAAAAAGTTCTTTGTCTGAATCTTTTCCCTTATTCCTTGCTTCCTCCTTTTCAGAGGTTCTATACATTTTTCCTGATCAGTGGCCGACGATTAGCAAGATGGCACGCTCTGTCCCTTTTGATGTTTTGGGTGACTTACCTTTTTGGTGATGTTGAGCCTATTTTTATTTTGTATTTAGGGATATGGGAGTGAGTGTGTGTGTATGTGTGTATTTGGGGTGCACCTTATTATTGTTGATGCTTATTAATCTCTCAACTTACACATTTAAGGAAAAAAAAAAGAGACATCTGCTCACTTTGCAAAGCTAGTTGCACAGACAGGGAGTGAACCATTTTGGTGAAGGAGGAAATGAAACTTTTCTTAGGTTTATTAGACCACATCCTATAAATCTGTGGCTTATTATATGTCTGATTTCTGAAAAGCATGGCATCACAGCTGAAGTTTTATTTTTGCTTGTTAGTCATTGAAACAAATATAGATATTGCTTCATTTCCTTGGTACTCTATTTTTCAATACACATTATGTATGGAAAATCTGGATTTACACAACAAAGTACATTAGAGGGGAAGTCTTTGCTTTATAAATCTCTGCATTGGAACTTTGCTAGCATTCTTTTATGCTAGAATGTTTAATTTGTCTTCCTACTCTGGATTGCATAGAGAAGCAATGAGAAAACAGTAAAAGTTCCTCTCAAAGGCAATGTTAATATTTTGACAGACTTCCTTTCAGTCTTTTAAGAGATGTGTTTAGAAAATCATAGGCTGGCTCATATCATATTATATGCAATTTTCTATTTATTTTACATCTCTCCAGATGGGAGCACTTTCCTACGTATTCCATGAAGAGTCTTTGTAACACTTCTAATGGTTGCCCATTCTAGATGTGGGTATCCCCTCAGTAGGCTTAGTCATGGCCCTACTGCAAACAAACTGTTTCTAAAATTCCACTGTTACAGTGTAGCTGCATTGCACATGGAAGCAGATGTGAGTTAAAAATGATGAGGGCAAAATGACCCAGACAGTCCATACTGCCCTCATGATTAGTATGACCCATAGCTTTGTGGGTACAGCCCTGGATCATTCTGTGCTGGCCGACCAGCAGGTTCATTCCCCCCGGCCAAATTCATTTTCAGGGTGGGAGCACTCGTGAGACCACCGGTGTTGTTACTTCTATCTCTCATTCTCTCCTTGCAGAGCTTCCTTGTTGAATTCTTCCTGGTCCAATGAATGCATCTCTTTCTGCCTGTGAACCACCCCAGTAGTAGAAATGGACCCTGTCGTGGCCCACTTGGAATTTCTAGTGCCTCAGTGAAAGCACATTCCCAGTGTGTTGCGATATAGTCTGTCTCCTATGTGATTGACACAGCTTGGACAAAGCTTGGACAGGGAAACTGGCCCAGGGAGGGAGGGAGAGGATCATCCTAGGTCCTGATTCCCATGTTGTTGGCCATTCCTTGGACCCAATGCCGTGAATGCTGTTCTCTTCGTGTCTTACTCTTGTCCTCTCACCCTCTGAGGCTGGTATACGAAGTTGGCAGCCCCGGCCAACCCAATGCACGGGGTTTCTCTGAGGAGCTCAGCCCTGTGGAAGATGCAGGTGTTCCCTGCCCTGTGGCCATGCCTCTTGGGCTGTCTGACGTCTACCAGGGCGCCACAGGCTGTATCACGGCTCTTATCTTGGTGACTACCTCTCTTTTCCCCATTCTTTGTGAGTCACCTGTTTTCTTGGCGTCTCGTGTGACAAAGGTCATTAATAGAGAAGACTTGACTTTTGATGCGTGACACGTTATCACCCACACGGTTTATTGTTTTGGGTCCTCCCCTTTTGTAATTCTGTTAGGTGACAGATCACTTTTTAATGGGCTAACCTGTGTCCAGGGAGAGTTTAAATTAGCCTTCAGATTTTTTTTTTTTCATTCCTTAGAGGTGTCTCCCCCCCACCCTGATCAAATGACTCAGTCAGTACTTGGAGAGAGGGAGTGGATGCTTCCCACTAATGGTTGTGCCATTCATTACCTGTCACATCAGTCTCTGTTGTGATATCTCTGTCTCTGAGCCCTTTCTTATTATTGGTGTCTTTAATGATGCCATGGAGGTAGATGTTTGGAAATTGAGAACA